TAGATGTAATCAGAAAAACAGCATGAAAACTAGTTAACGGAGCTGGCTAACGTAGGAATTTTAACTGAAAAAATTATCGGAGCGGTTAATAAGCAGAGCTTAATCGGCAGGATTAGAATAGAATTTATTTCCCTTTTAAAACCGGCTGATAAGAGTTTTTTTCTATAATAGACACTCAAATTTTTCGTTAGTTTAACAGAGAGAAGTGAATACGACTGCAGCACGCTAAAGTGACTCGTTACTTTACTTACAGATCTTTGCAAAATAGACTTAACCGATTTTCCATATAAACAGATTATGAAATTAAAATTACATTTTAACTGTTTCAAGATATAATTTATAAAAGTTATTAAAAAATGAAAATTTTTATTTTTAAGCATTCATAAAAGGTGAAAAACGTGAATTGTTTCCCAATCTCAAAATTCAGGTAATTTTTAGAAACTATAATTGATGAATTTTGTGGTACTTAAAATTTTGTTTCTGATTTTTTAAAGTTTTTAGCAGTTTTTATTTTTTGTTTTGCATTATTTTATTGATTTTATTTAGTATGAGCGTGGTGCTGATCCACAGCTTCTGCTTCATGATGAGTTAGATAATGTCAAAGAAGTTCTAAGGTTTAAAGAAGTTCTGTTTAAGTCTTAATTTGAAAATTGTTTTCAATATCTATAAGTTATTATTTTAATTTTTTTTTTAATTTAATTTCAAAAAGTTTTGCTTTTTTTGAAGATTTAAAATATTTTAATTTTTCTTTTAGCATTACAAAATGGGATACAGACACAATAGCCCAGTTTTTAAAAGAGAAGGTTCAAATTTAATGTTATTAGGCAAATTATGTTATTTAATAAGGTCTTTTCTGTTTCCATTTTACTTTTTTTTTTCTTTCGCTTTTTTATCCATTTTTTTTTTTTTTTTTAATTTTATATTTCTACCTTTAGTGAGATTTTAGGGTTTCAATTCAAAGATGTTAGATTGCATATTCTTAATTTTATAGCCTCTTATTTTCCTTTTTTTTTCTCTATTTATTTTACGGAATTTTGCTTTTATTTGTAAGGGTTTTTATAAAACATTAGTTTAAATATTATTATTTATGAAAAAATGAACATTATTATTATCCACGGAGGATGCTGTTTGAGGATACCCAGCTGAATCTTGTAGGTAGTTATAATTAAAACTTTTGATGTTACTATTGTAACTTTTTATGAAGACATGTATATAAACCATTGTATGGAAATACATGTATGAAGAAGTTTGTTCATTTCTATGAAAATATGTTTTTTTTTTAAATCTTTACTAGAAAATTAGTTCATTTGTTAGTTATGAAGGTTAGCATTGCAATGGCTTTTTTTGGTATCTGTAATATTTTTATAGGCGTAGTATAAAGTGTAATCCTAATGGTTTGTGTATGCCTTTAGACTCAGAGGAAATTAAAAATCTAGATAGAGTTCATAATAGCAACGGTGATGCTAAGTTCAGCAAAAAGAAACATAGAACATAAAACTATCCAATGATGAAATCATATCATGAAGAGCGGTTAAATCGTTATATGCGGATGACAAAAGAAATATTTAAATGCAATCTTTTGGTTATATAAAACGTATATCTTTTTAAATGGATAATTTGAGGTTATGCATATTACGTTTACGGGTCGTGTTATCAAGTTGTTGTTTTTTTTTGCCTGAGAGCAATATACGCCTGAAAAATCGGGAGCCATTGTCCGAAATGTGGAAAGGAGAAAAGTTTTATGTTGGCAAGCTGCTGCAGAATCGCTATGCCATCTAAAACATGTGCAGCACTTTGAGGAGCCTATGAAACAAATTCTTCAAAGTGCTCTCGATCCACCGAATATTCTCTTGCACCTAAAAAAAAAAAGTAACATTTCAAGTCAAGCTGTTATTTGAATTAGTAGATTTATTTGTAGCTATAAGTAAAAAAATCCCTTTAAGACGTGATTATTAAGTCATTTTAAAAAGTAAAGATACTTTTTGAAAAAATATGTTATGTGAGTACCCAGTGTTGGATGGTTCTTTCACTCGTACAATAATCTTTTATTCCCCGTGCCATTTCTGATCGCAATTGATAGCTTGTTCAATGTATTGGCCAGGTGCAACTTTATTAAATGTACCGCTCCTTCTTATGGAAAAGTTTCCATCACTGTTTTGAAAAAGATACAACATAAAGCAGTTATTTAAATAAATTTTAACAAATTAAAACTCTAAATGAAAAGGTATTTTGAATATAAACTTACATAAGCTATTAATAAATGCTAGGATGAGTTGCCAGAAGTTGCGTCATTTTGTTCAAGAAAAAGTTTAGAAGCGAAAATAATTTTGACAATAATATGCAAAAAACAATGGTAATATTTGACATGTCGCTCCCAAATAAAGAGTCCAGTTAGTAACCTTTGTTGAAAGTAGCAAAGAAAAAAAAATTAACATTTCGATAAATGAAAGAACAATGAACCTTTTAAGGTCAATGTGGCAAGGATTCATCAGGATTTCTACCACTTTTGCATATATAGCTTGATTCATTACGACGTCAGTTTCTGAGGAACCAAGATTGTCGCTTTAGCTTTAGAATGGAACAGAACTTCAAGCACTGTACACAAGTTGGTAGGCGAGTTATTAGCTTGGAGCTAATAGTGTGTATATCTTCTGGTTATCTTAATAGTGTGTATATCTATTAAATGTAATTAAATACCCGTCAAACTTGGGATGTAATCAGAAAAAAATTTGAAACGTCCAAAAAAATCCATTTTCTTTTTTTTTTTTTTTTTTGGGGTGCCCCAAGAAGACCTAACGGTCTTGTCATAGCACCACGGAAGTGCATTTAACCAGGAAGTTCATGCCTCCTTCCTTACCATGACATAAAAATATGTCCAGACCTCGTTTCGAACCTGGATCACCTGCTTATTAAGTAAGCAGGTGACCACTTTTACCACTGCGCCACGGCCGCACAAGATCTTTTATAACAATTGAAAATCAGTTGCCAACGTATTTAAAGCATGATCAAATTTATAACAATTGAAAATCAGTTGCCGCCGTATTTAAAGCATGATCAGAAAGAGCCAGATCATCTACGTTATTCAAATGCAATATCAAGGGACACTACGTTACTTCTCTGACACTACCAGTAACATAGTGTCCTTTGATATTGCATTTGAATGACATAGGTGATCTGGCTATTCCCGATCATAATTTAAATACGGCGGCAACTGATTTTCAATTATTATAAAAGATCTTTCTCTGTTTCTTGTAATTCTTTCATTTACACGATTCTTGTGTACTTGGTCAACTTGGTTTTGTAACTGAAAAAGAATGCCATTAGTGACGTGCATAGGGGTTCCATTTAATGTTACGGGATTTATGTCGTTGTTGTCACAAACAAAGCACAGTGGGCCAGAATTGTCTAAAAATGTCAAAAACTATTTATGGGTTAAATATAGACATGATAGATGCATATAGAGATTTATGGGGCCAAGGATTTTATTTTTAGGCTCCATTTTAATTTTGGAGTGGTCATGATGACACAAGTAGTTACTTTAGGGATTGTCTGGGTGGTCATTGGGTTTCTTAATAGTTTTAATATTAGGGATATGTTGCATATCTAAATATAGAATACTGCTTTCAGGGAATTCAAATTTAGAAATATTTGGTATATAGAAGTGGTCATGACAACCCAAATGATCATTTAAGTAGTCCAAGCGTGGTCGTGATTTGTCCCAATGTTTTTCAATTAGATGTTGTATGTCTAAATATAGGTAAGTGATATCAGGAAAAATTAAATCTGGCCATATTTAGTGTTTATAACCATTTCTAAACTTACCTAAAGGCCGCACCCTAGGGCCCCGCGATTTCGAAAATCTTTTACTTTAAATTGTTTAGTGTTTTTGTTAAACTGTAACTTGATGACGTTAAGTTTGATTAAAACTGAGGTACCGCAAAGTTACTATGTCGATTTTTGCTGTTCATTTTTTATTGCTCAATTAGACTTTATTTGTCGTTCGGTTGTCTGCAGTTGTTAGCGTTGTCAACTTTAATATTGAAATTGACTGAGTAATTGCTTTAAGGTAAAGATATGTTTGGTGGTTCGGTGTTAAAATTGCTCAAGTTTAGCTATATCTGAGCTAGATATGGTGACAAGACTTGCACTACAAATTCTAAGTATGGGCGAACGTATGAAATATACAATGTGAGACATAAAACAAGACTACGGCCTGGAAAATCACTCTTGAGCATCCTAACCCACCCAACATTTAGTCCCAAAAAAACCTTTTTTGAACGTTTAAAAGACGTTCTGAACGTCTTTTGAAAGTTGAAAAGACGTTTTTTTAAAACCATATGCCGGCTGGGAAGCTTTCGGTAGTGAATACTTGCCAGTTTTCATTGCCAACTGATCCGGCAGTGAGTACTTGATAATTATTTACTGACCTATAAATTATTAGTTGTTATAATACACAGATCACTTTCAGACGTTTTGCACAATAGTTGGAGCAGTTGACCAACAGTGTCGTTCATTGAGTAGATTGAGGTAAATTTTTAATTGTTGTTACAACCGGTGTGCATGACTTTGCACTCATCTACATTAAAAGACATTAGCCATGTGTGTGACCACTTCACTGCTTTGTTAATGTTGTCTTTTTTTAACATGTCTTATGTTTTCTTTTTTCAATTGGATAACCCTAATAATTTTAAAGCTGTCTGTATACATTTTGAAATAGTGTAGTATTGTGTATGGTAGATTGTTTATGTAGATAAGATATAGAAGTGGTCTGTAATCAGATACTTGTGGCACATTGCTGGAGATTGTTTTCCATTCAGATTTGATATTATAAAGAGTTCTACGTTGTAGGTGGTTGGTTAGCATGCTCTTAATTCACTTTTGCAAGGTGTCAGTCACCCCGTACGAATTTAGCTTGTGCAGGTCCTATCGGCTCGGTTTCAAAGATTGATTGAAAAAAATCAGTTAGTGTGTTGCAAATTACATTAGTGTCAGTTGCAGTTTGATTGTTTCAAATTTACGATCGTGGTCGTGTACCTTTTTTTTCTTCTTACGTATGGGTAGATAACTTTTGAATCTTACCTGCTATTTGTGACCAGTTTCTCATCATAAACAAGAACAGCAGTTTTGACTAGCTTTTTTACTATTTTACTTGCATTTGTTAGGCATTGTTGTTTGAGATTGTTAATTCATCGAGTGTTGAGTTGATTAGGTTGCGAAGGCGTCAAGAAAAATTGATTTTGTCCAGAATTGTCCGGATAGATCGGAGAAATCAAGAAGTGCGGCCGTGGCGCAGTGGTTAGAGCGCTTGCTTTAGAAGCAGGAGATCCAGGTTCAAAACGAGCTTTGGACATATTTTCGCGTCACGGTAAGGAAGGAGGCATGAACTTCCTGGTTAAATGCACATCCGCGGTGCTCTGTGACAAGACCGTTAGGTCTTCTTGGGGCACCTAAATAATAATAATAATAATATTAAAAAAAAAAAAAAAAAAAAAAAAAGAAGTATTGATACGTCGTGAAAATTTAAATTGATCCTGATATATTTGATTGTGGTGCTATTGAGTTATTCAAAATTGGTGTAAGAACAATTGAGATTTTCTTTTGAGTAGATCGTCATTCCTCCTCTTCAACTGTTTCTATTTTTATTGAATAGTCGATAGCCTTCTATTTCTTGTGTCGGATCAACCAACTATCGGTCAACCTAATTTTAGTCATCAATATTATGTGTGATTAAAGTAAAAAATCTGTTATGGTGATTTTAACTCTTAGTTGGTCAATTTTTTATTGAGGAAGCAAGGATTATTTACGCTTTATATAAGTTGATCGAGCAAGTAAATAAGTTATTTCAGCTTTGTTATTTGTAGTATTGGTTGTTGTAGTTTTGGTTTTAGGCGAGTCGGACGAAGTTGACTTGGGTGATTATTTGATGTTGAGTTTTGTCAGGGAATTTTCAGCTATTGTGTTGAGTTTAAAAGTGTGTTTGATAGCGAGAGTTGGTTGACAGTTGAATTCTTTGTCTTGCAATCAGTTCTGGATTTACCTATAGGCCGACTAGGTCGCGGCCTAGGGCCCCGTGATTTTTGGGACCACAAAATTGAAGTGAAAAAGTTGTTGAAGTGAAGCGTGTATTTTAAAAACTTATTTTTATGCGGACATAGATAAAAAATACATAAACTTGAATGATCTCAAACCATAGCGTCCTCTACTCCAGACCTATTCGTCGCGCAACCAGATTTGTTTGTGGAGGCCTACTTTTTCACGCCAAAAAAG